GGGTTTCACACATGTGTAGACACACATCGGGGTTTGATTTCCTTAGTTCTTCCTAATTTTATTCTTGATTTCACAAATGGGTCTTGTTTAGATGCTAGGTTCTTGAGAATCAGAACAAATCGAGAGGTATGAATTGTGATGACTCCCTGGGACAGAGATGTTGACTGAGGTTGAGAGGGGGAAGTAACCATCAGAGTTAATTGGGAGGCATAGATAGGCGACACAACCACCAGAGTTAGCCCAAATGATTGCCGCCACCAGTTTGCAAGAAAGGGGTTCTGCCGGACCTCAGTTTGCGAGAGGGAGGTTTTGTCAGGCCTGCTTTCAGATCCATCTCCTCTAAAACCGGACCTTGAAATCCCTACTGTTGTTCGATCATAGAGTAAACCCAACATGTGTGCTTGCGTTTCTTGGATTTTTCTCAACAATGCTCTCGCCGGAGGTGGGTTAGAAGAAGGAGGTGAAAGAGAGTCGATAATAGAGGGAGAAGGTACGACCTGGTATAGTGGGGTAAGGTGGGCCTAATTTTTATTTTTGAATTATAAAACCTAACTAATCAATATATGAAAATGAAAAAAGAAATTATAAAGACAAAATTGTCCTTTCAACTCTTCCACAGACCTAAACCACCAAAAATTAGAATTATTGATTTTGGACATTTCATACAAGTCGGAAACATTTTAAACTCTATCCATAGTTTTTGCAAAACCATACATACCAATTTTGTAGTTTTGTCTATTTTATTTAATACATTGTTATTGCTATAAATTACTACTATTATGGAAAGAAAAAAAATACCAACTAATTAGATAAATAATAATAATAATAATAATAATAATAATAATAATTAATTCCATTAAACTTTTTGTTTGTTCTCTCTAGAGAAAGACTCCCTCCATGATGATACTGTTATCATCTTAGAATGTGATCGGAGTTTCCATCAAAGCAGCTCCCATTTTTTATCAATCGCAGGTGGGTTAGTTACTATCTTTACAACTTAATTCATCTAACTAATTTGTAGCGATGATATGATTTTTTGAGTGAATCGCCATCTATCGCGTTGCAATGGAAGAATCAGCAATGCGATATGCGATTGTGTTTTTGATGGGGTGATTATGACTGAGTAATTATCAAAATCAATTCGAATGAACATCTCAAATTGTGTATCATCACCTTGCATTTTTACTATCATGCAGTAATGGATCGTGGAATAGATTCGAAGAGCGTAACCCCTGGTGGTGGCAGTGACGACCAATTGTCGCCACCGATGGCTTCGTCTCGTGGTGCAGCATCTCCGACGATTCACCGGCATTCGCGTTCAGGATCGATTGTGAAGAGGTCACAGAACACCAAGGAGGCGGCACAGAGGCTTGCTCAAATGATGTCTCATCAGCAAACGGATGATAGCGAAGATGACGACGATCTCTTATCTGATTTTAGTCCACCCGCCACCACCTCCTCCTCCTCCGCCCCTGCCACCGGAAGGTCTCAAATCCGGCATCGTTCGCCTATGGTATGTATACCTGCAATAAATGATTTCCATGTCATCTAGATGCTATAATTTTGTTGATATGACATAACAATTGTATAATTATCTTGTATTAGACAGTTCACACAGCTTCAACTCCACGTATCGGCCGATCATCTCAACCAGTAATAAACCACGAACAATTTCAATCTCAATCAGCCCGTTCTTCATCTGACCATACTTCCAATAGCCTTCGCTCAGCTCCATCAATCACTACTGTCGAACATGTTCAACCTAATTCTGCTCGAGCTAATCGATCGCCACAACGTTGCCGCTCTATGGAACAACCATCGTCTGCTCGGGCTATCTCAGCCGGTCGTCCAAGTTTAGCAATGAAGCCAGTCGCCATGGTGCCTCCCAGTGTTAATTTGTCACTAAGGCCAACCTCCGGTCGAGACACGCAGCCTGATGCTCAAAAGAATAAAAGGTATTTTGAAAATTTCCCGATAGATAGATCACTTCAATTTGAGCAGATTTTTGTGTAAATCATCTTCTATATTTTCAAATTGAGCAGGTTTTCTTTGGATCTGGGTGTTTTCGCAAGGGAATCTAGTAACCAACGTCCAGCTACTGCTACTGCTTCCGCTCCGACTTCTGCTACTGCTTCTACTTCTGCTCTGGAAGATGATGTAAACTCTCAACTCCCTCCCTCCCACCCCACCTGCGGACGCCATTAACAGTTTATATTCTAATTGCAGATTGACATGCTACAGGAAGAAAACGAGAGTTTGATTGAAAAGGTAATCACAATAAACTTTGATCATTAATCCCCGATTTATATACAAGTTTAACTCGAATTTCGAGCATCATGTCCAGATATAATAGGATTAATGCAGTCCTTGAGTGCATTATACTGTCATAAGCTATCAAAGAGTTAGAATAATGTTAGGTATGTAAAGCTAAAGCAGAGTAATTTACAAAAATGGTCCCTGAATATCGTGATTTTGTGCAATTTTGGGACCTAGGTTTTGTTTTAGCAATTTTGGTCCCATTTTCAGATGGTGTTAATTTCGTCAAGAAGGACAATCATGTTTTCGTTCTTCTGTTTTCCCCTCTTAACAAAATACAGTATTTAGGTTAGAACAAATATCAAAAGACTGATCATTGACTATTATATATACATCTTAATTTATAATTTTTTTTTCCAGCTTCGAATTGCTGAGGAAAGATATGAAGAAGCAGAAATGAGGGCTAGACAGCTTGAGAAACAGGTAATTAAAAGTTAAAACTTTTATCTGCTTATATTTTGGTTCTTTTAATATATGATTTAAAACTCAAAAAAGACAATCATTTATTGATAGGTTGCTCATCTTGGAGAAGGTGTTTCTTTAGAAGCCAAACTTTTAAGCAGGCAAGAACAAATATTTTAGTAATCTAGTATTACATTTACATCTCTCCAACTCAATTTTTTAAACACTTTCTCATTATCTTGTGCCATTTAGGAAGGAGGCATCTCTACAACAAAGGGAGGTTTGTACTATATTTGAATTTTCAACATTATAAATAATAAATGTAAGGGATAAATAAATTTCTTTCAGGCTGCTTTCAAAGCTGCAATAGAACAAAATGGAGGAGTAAATATTGGTATTAGAGGGGGGGCTATGGAGGCTCTTCGTGTGGAAGCTGAGGTATTCATATTCAGAAATCTATATTGTACGTTTACTTTTTTAATCATGATTATTATTACACTATAAAAACATTTATGATTCATAACATAACATAACATAAACTTTGAGTGTTGACTGGATTCTAATTAATATTTTACTTCATAAGACTGCTAGGGATGAAGCAACATCTATCATGGAACAACTTCATGAGACTGAAAGTGAAGTTAAATCACTTAAAACAATGTTCCAAAGAATGCTACTCACACAAGAAGAAGTGGTATTTATTAGTTTTTTTTTTCTAACCATTATTAAATAAATTCACTTGTTTATTTAATTATGTTAATGAATACAATACACTATGTTATGTGTTTTTTTAGGAAGAGTTGGTTTTAAAGAGATGTTGGCTTTCTTGGTATTGGAGTTTATGTGTTCAACATGGTATACAATTTTGATAAGGAAATGAATTAATTACAGTTTTGGTCCCTGTAGTTTTTATGGGTTATATATATGACAGGTATTCATGCAGAAATTGCTGGAACAAGATACGAATACTGGTCATCATTTGCTCCTCTTCCTGTTGAAGTTGTAGTGGCTGCTGGACAGATGGCAAAAGATGAAAAGCTGATGGGTAATATAGTCATTTACATTTACTAGATTGGTTTTAAGAAACATTAAACATTTTTAGTATGAATAGAAAAGAGTGATGAAGAGGAAAGAGAGAAAGTTCCAAAGGATGCAAGGGAAATTTCAGGAGAGGGAAGTGTGGAAAGTATGCTTTTAGTTGAAAGAGGTCTAAGGGAATTGAGCCTTTTAAAGGTTTTTGTTTACACTTACTATTATTATATTATATTAGTTTTCTTTTTTTATATAAAATAAACCTGTTTTTATTCTTTTTATCAAACAGATAGAGGATGCAGTAGCACTTGCAATGGCTCAGCAACGGAGGCCGACTATACTAAAATCTGGTTTGACAGGTGTGCATTAATCTCAAACCTGTAAATGTTTTTCCCATATCCTAGCAAGTTTTTTTTTTTTTTTTTTTATTGAAATGAATCTTTATTCTTATAAAGAAAATAGAAAATGTAAACGTTTTTTTTTTTTTTCTCAGAGTTGAGTAAACAGGAGGCAGATGATGTGCGGTTTAAGCAGGTAATAATTTGAAAGTACATTTGTATAAGTTTAATATAAGATTATAATCCTCCAAAAACAGGGTTGGCTGATATATTTTTGGAGAAGAGTAAAAATTCATGGGTTAGAAGTAGATATTGTAGATGAGCGATTGCATTTCTGGATCAATCAAAGTGATCATCCACCTACTTCACATGATGCTGTTGAAGGTACCTATTTTTTTACCCATATATGTTGGATATTAATATTATTGGTTAATAGATGCAAGTAATAGTGATGATTTATTAATATTCCCTCCTTGTTGAAGTTGAGCGTGGACTTGTTGAGCTTCGCAAATTGGGAATCGAAGCTCAATTGTGGCAAGCATCTCGCAAGTTTGTTGACCCTGACTCTCAACATAAATGGCAATTGCACATTAATTTCTGACATTCCTTTTAGTTTGTTTTGTTTTCTTATTAGGCCACGTGGCAATCTTCGAGACCTTTTACATATGTAAGTAAGTATTGATTTGAAATTAGATGCGTTATAATAAATTCTCAATTCTCAATTCTTTAATTCAATTAGTGAGTCCAAGTTTGTGTAATTAATATATGGTGGCAAGACTCAAACAAACTCCAAATGGTAACATTATTGGCCACATAGTGCTTGCTATATAATTCTATATTTTTAATTTTCATTAATTTTTTTTTTATATTTGTAATTATTCATTAAATCCATTATGTTAAAACAAATAATGCACCTAAGTCTCGATTAATCTACATTTGTAAACAAACAACAAAAGTAATGTACAAAATTGCATAATAAATTAGACTAGGCTTCCAAAAGTGTTGGTTTCCTTCGATACTCAGTCTCGGTAATCTCCTAATTAATTTAAAGTCTTGTGAAATGCAGTCTGAAAAATCAGGAAGTTCATATAAGTACCTCCTCAATTCACAACATTAATTAATAATTAAAAAAATTAAAAAACACTTACAGAAGTTGATGTTTTTAGCAACTCCCTAATAGCCATAGTTGCATAGCAAGATGCTGGAAGTGTGAAGCTCAATTTAAGGGCTAACTGGTCTCCCAATTCCAATTCCAAAGACTCCTTTTTAACACCATCACCTTCATTGGCCTTTGAAACAATGTCTAAATCGGTCGTAGCCAATGGGATGCTTACATCTGTATACTTTATCAACTCCCTGAAATAATATTTTTTATTAAAATTCCAATTTTTTTATATGTAAGCAATGTAACTGTTCTTTATTTTTAATCAAAATACCATTCAAAATCCTTGGCTTTTCCAAATACTCGCCGATAAGCTCCTGTCATGCTGGTTAGCGAAAACTCCCTACCAAAAGAATTAACAAAATTAGTATTAAATAAAAAGTATTTTATTAATCATATTTGCAAAAAAAAAAAAAAAAAAAAAAAGTAAGCAGAAGAACTCACTTGACATTATGCATACTCTCCATCAAGCTCACACCATCCTGTCATGGAACAAAAAATAACACAAGAAATTCAAAACTAAAATCAGAAATTAACAATATATTTATATAAGAATAAAGAGAAGCAAGAAAACACACCTTGTCAGCCAAATCTTGATAATATTGTTGAATGTCATTATTTGGAAAAATTACCCTTGAACTGCCCAAATAAAAAAAAAATAATAATAATAATAATAAGTTTAAAGATACATAAAGTGTGAAGTTTGTGGGATGTAGCAACTTACCCAGGTAAAGGAAGGACAACATCAGAAACTGTATAATTCCCTGAAAGAATGTCTTCCTTGTTAACCACCTGTAAAACAAGCAAATAAAGAAAATATATAATTGGGTAGAGTTTTCAAACTATAATGTTGCAATGTAATAAGAAGAAATGAAATAATAAGGTTGATATTTCCTGACCTTTACTGAGGTACAAGTTCCTTCAGATGGAAGTGCATCAGCCTCATCTAATGATTATTCTCTAATGAATCATTATTCTGTTCATATTCAGAATCATTGACTTTGACTTCCTTTATTTCATTACAACTTTCTTCATTACAATACACCAAATCCCCCAACACTACTTCCTCATTCCCTGAAACACAACCCAATTAATAATATAAATATATTTTTTTAACATACATAATTCGTACCATATTTTTGTACTCTCATGCTAGCTGCATGGTTCCATAGATAGCTTTGGTAACTGTGCACATACCTGAAAACAAACCACAAACATATTGTTCAAGTACTTGACATATTTTCTAATTTCTTTTTTTGATATTAATAATAATAATAAAAAGTAATACTTACATCATTCTAAGGGTCCTAGGAACAGCCTTTAGAGCTTGCAAGTAGTTCCCTGGACACTTTTTCAAACACTGCAGCTGATAAACAAAAAAATATATATAAACATAAATCAAATATAATATTTATTTAATAGTTATCATTGAATTAAAAAAAAAATGTGCAACTTACAATGGCCTTTTCAGCCACAAGAAAGCGAGGTAACTGTCTCAAAGTCCCATCAATGTCTTCACTTTCTTTATAATATTCCCGAATCCTCCTTATGTCATCTTTTTGTATTCAAAAACTTATATTAAAGAAAACAAATCATTATAATAACATATTTTTTTCTCAATTTATAAATTTTTTTTTTTAAAAGATGATGATCAGAAACTAAAAGGATATCACCATCCCTTGGATCAAGAATCATGCTCACTGCTTCTTTCCATTCTCCTTTAAGTAATTTAGCACCAATAAGGTGAGTAGGTATAGAACCACTCCCAAATCTCTGTTTCAGAATCCATATATTAATATTTTCTTTTTTTAAATAAATTAATTCATGTGAGTGACACCTTATTACCTGCATACCAAAGTAGTTTACAAATCCATGTTTTCCTAAAGCAACTGCTGCTACTTTTACAGTATCCTCAGAATCTGCAACCACCCCCCTACAAAGATGCAAAAAGACGTAAATGCCCTCATCATTGAAAACACCCCTATAAAGTCCATCTATGATCTAACAAATGCAGCCTTATCAAACCTTAGTGTGATTGCGAATCGATTTCCATGGAGTTGACCAAGAAGAAGACCTTCATTGACATAACTAAATACAAATTACAAAATCAAACATTTGGGTGTTAAAAGATTTGATTAAAAATGAGAAAAAAGTTGTAAATTCAGTGCACTTACGAAAAGTCGCCAACTTTAATTCCAATTAATCTTTTATTCAGATTAGCCACTTTGTTTGCACGCTGTTTAAATACAGTGACCTGAAATTTCAAGTATGCCAAAATGTCAGACACTCAGACTTCATAGATAGAGAGAAAATGTAAAAATAAATAAATATTAACATTTAATATTTACCCTTTGAGTTGTTACAGCACGCTTATCTTTTGTACCAGAAAATCCAAATGCCCTTGGCTGTAAAAACAAAATCAATAAACAATTTTATCATTTAAAAAAAATTCCAATTTCATTGAATTACTCAAAATGATGTGTAAGCACTACAGTAACAACAATAACCTGAATGCCAAGCATCTTTCCAATCACCCCTAATGCCTCTTGTGTATCCTTGTTTTCCTTACAAAGATGAAATCTGGAGATGAAGATTCCAAAACATTGTCATTAATAAATATTAAAGAATATAAAGCTTCAAAAGTAAAACATTGTCATTAATGAAAGGATGTTGCTATAGTAGACACCACCTGAGAAACTTTCCAAGATGCTCAGGCCAATGATCTGAACCTCTACTATCATAAGGAGTCTCATCTCTTCCTTTTCCTCTTCTTAGAACCTCTGCCTCTTTCATTATTCCCCCCTGAATTCAATCGCACACGTATGCATTTTGATGAGGATTCAGGTCCATCTACTGTGTCTGTAACCAAGAACTTGAGTTTCTCTTTGAAAAAATTATGAACTGCCTAAAGGGAGCAAATTATTAGTAAATTACACATACACATACTATTGATTAGCTATAGTTGATGAAAAGAAACATTGAGAAAAGAGATTCCTACTGTTCGATGAACTTTATCAGAACTTGGAGAAAGAACAATGGAGGTATTGGTAACTGTAACTCCATCTTCATCATTTGAATTTATCTTATCTATAAATTCCTTCAGGGAGTTGGCATCAGAGTCGCCAACTAGAGCTCTAAACGATTCAATTTCACTACAATGGTTACCATTTGGTTGATTTGTAGTCTTCGATTCATGTTCCTCTGCTGTCTGAACTTGAAAAAAAAAAGTAGATCGTTAAACTCAGATGTTAAGATGAATGGAAATGATGGTGAATTAGATGATAAGAGATGGTAACAGACCTCCATTGGTGTTCCACGTTTGAATTAGATGATAACAACATTTCCATCCAAATCCACTTCATTGACTATAAACTCAGAGTACCTGTAAACAAAAAACATAAAATCAAAAAGCATATTCTTCATTTGAATTATATGTAAATTCACAACTGTTCCACGTTTTACAGAATTATTACGAATGTTTATCGTTTAAATTACATCATTTGACCTATAGATCGAAGTGTAATAACGAGAGATGGAAGAATTACGCACACAAAAAGAGGAGATTTCAGACAAAAGGACGAGCGAAGGTAGTTACAAAAGCTCAATTGAACTCAAATAGTGAAGGATATGAGAGGGGAAGATGATACCTTTGCTTGAGAATGCCACGAAAACCAGGGAGAGGGGAGATGTAGCAAGAGATGCCTACGTCGGATTCTTCGAGGGGGGATTTCATGGCGGCCGATTGTGATTGACTGAAACAGTAGGGTTTTAGAAGGTGGTTGCAGGGGTTTAGTTGACGATGACAACGAACGGGGAAGGCAGTATACAGTGTAAGCAATCCCATCATGTTCTATGTAGCATCATAGCATCCAACTAGGATGAGGGTTAGATCCGCCGGAACCGAACCGAACCGGAACCGGAATCGGAATGGTAATAAGGTCCGGTTACCGGTTGTCCATTTTTATAAAAACCGGTCCTGGTTTTAAAAATCCGGACTGGTTTGACATTTTTTCTCGTTTTTTAAAATGTACATAACTCACTTATATGAAGTCGGAATCATTTGGTTTTTTTTTTCAACATGTAATTTGGAGTTTGTAATTCATTTTTTACTGTAAAAACATAGTTTTTGGTTAGATATTGAGTCGGATACATGCCCCGAAAGAAAGAATATCGATGTTGCGTTTTTTCTATTTCAGCATTTTTTTTGTTTTTTTTTAATTTGTCCCAATTTTTAAAATGAGCATAACTCATTCATATGACGTCGCAATTACTTAATTTTTTTTCCATCATGTTATTTGGTGTTTGTAGTTCATTTTAGACTACAAAAACACATATTTTGGTTAGATATCGAATCAGTTATAGACCTCGGAAGACAACATATAAATGCTGCGTATTTTCTGTTTCAACATTTTTTTGGAATCTGTGCCGCTTTTAAAATGCGCTTAACTCACTCGTACGAAGTTGGAATTACTTGATTCTTTTTTCATCATGTAATTTAGTGTTTGTATTTCTATTTAGAATGTAAAAAGTCTTAATTTGGTTAAATATTGAATCATTTACAAGCTCCGGAAGATAGCATATCATCTATAATAAGTCAACCGGTTCTAGTTTGAAAAATAACCGAAAAATCGGGACCGTAACCGTAACCGGCGCTAGAACCGGCGGTCCGGTTCCCGGTTCTTATAATATAGGAAAACCGGTCCCGGTTCCGAACCGGTCCGGTTCTAAAGCTCATCCCTACATCCAACAACCCGAAATTGCTCAGAGGTTTTTTACATTTTTAATTAGAAAATAAATTTGAAAAAAAAAATAATAACAAGCCTTTTCTTTTCGAACTTTTTTCATAAAAATAGCAACAATAATGATGTTTTTTAAAAATAGCTTTGATTTTCGCAAATCATATATACAAAATCGACGCCGCCTGTATTTTGTTTAAGACTGAACGGTGTGGGCAACCCCACAGCCGTTATTCTGACGTGACGGCCCCCTCAACGTCGTTACCATGCGAAACACTGCCCCCTCCCCCCTATTCGTTTTTGTCCGTTATGAGGATACTCGTTGCCATCGTAACATTTGATAACGCGTTCAACGGTTAAAATTTCGACCGTTGTTGAACGGTAACATGTAAAAAAATTGATTTTTTTTATCTGTAAATACTCTCTCAAACATAAAAATTTTACCAAACATTCTTTTTTCATCTTCAATCTAATTTCAACTTTCATAAAAAAAACTTATTTTTCCTTTTAACCAACTATGGAGCAAAACCCGAACACCCCGCCTCCAAGCACAAACACATCCATCCCGATGGGTTTCGCACAATACAGAAGTTATATGAACCTCCTCACCTCAAACTCACCCCCAATGCAATTTCCTACATCCCCTTACATGCAGCAAAAGCCAGATCTTCAACAAAACCTTTTCAGTGCTTTCAGTTCCATGCAACAAACAGCCACACAACCAACACCCACACAACCACCACCAGATATTGTTCATGAAACACAAGCGGGAGGCAGTCGGAAAGGGAGAGGGAAAGGAAAAGGGAAAAGGGAAGGGAAGGAAGTCGCGGATACGGAAGAAAAACCTCCACTTTGGTGGGACATCGGAGGAGGAGTATGCTTTGGCGGTGGCGTGGTGCGAGACTTCAAAGAATCCAACCATAGGAAATGATATGTGAAGAGTTGGGTTTTGGAAGTCGTGCTCGACAAATTCCACACGCTTATGAAGAAACAACCATATTGGAATATCGGCATGCTTAGCAGCAAATGGACTCCGATCAGTCACTAGTGTACCAAGTTTAATGGCATTTTCATGAGACTAGAATCGCAAAGGCAAAGTGGTGCGAATGATTTTGATGTTTACAAAGCCGCGAGGGAACAATATCAAGTGGAAATGGGGCACGCTTTTGAGTTTGAAAAAATATAGGAGATTGTTAGGCTAGATCCAAAATAGAATAAGACGCTGACATCGGGGGAGGCACAATCAAAGAGGTCCCACAATTCTAGTTCGTTTGACGTTTCCGACGCACGAACGAACGCCGACCTCAACGCAGACACGGATGATATCCCCGACGACATCGAAGAGATCTCCCCCCCCCACGTCGACCTGTCGAGCGCGACAAAACGAAACGTGCTTAGCGTCACGCGGGCGAAATTGATAGAAGGGCACAAGAGTTGGTGGAAATAAAAGCAAAGTTCGACAAACATAATCTGATTGCCCAACAAAAGGTTGATGTGCAACGTGAGCACTTGGAGTTTCTTCGTAATCAAGCCGAGAAAGATCAAACGAAAAAGGATTTAGCAATTCTCCAGACCAGCGAAATAAATATGGGACCACGAGAAGCGCTAGTGCTCAGGAAGATGAAAAAAAACAATAAAAAATAAATTAAATTAAAAAACCGAAAAAAGAAGAAGAAAAGAAATGATGACATGGAAAGTTAAAGATGTTATAACTAGTTGTCAATTTCCTCCATTTGGTGTTATAACACCACAATGACATGGCATGTGAGGTGGCAATTTTTGGGTGTGATAACACCCCTTAACTAGTTGCCCACACCCACTAGTCTAAAATATCAACAACGATGTTTTGTGGCCTTCCAAAAGATACATCTGCGAAAATCTAAAAAATATTGTATTTTCTAAAAAAAAAACATGGATTGTTTTGTCATGTTTGCTGCGAAAAATCGGAGGTCGTACTTCAAAAATCTAAATGCAACACTATGAAAATCAGTACATTATAGAGGTAGTAATCTTATAAGAAATACTTCTAGAAAAAAAATCAATACCCATTTGTCTGAATTTTAGATTTTCACTAGGTATTTTTATTTGATTTCACTAGAAAAATTCTCAATTCACCTATTCTTGTTAACTAAACATGAGTTCTAACATTTCAAAAGAGTATTTTATTGATGTTTGAATAAGTAGTTAATGACAGTCAGAAAATAGAGAATTGATATACGTTAGACTGTTTGTTAGAAACTTTTATATGTAAATTTTTGGGATTTTCTCAAACAGAAAGCAGGTTTGGAAGACATACCTAGTATCAGTGTGTCTTTCTAATACCTAACACTGAAGTATGTCATCCAAAATAGTTGATGAGGGTAATGTGCCTAACATTAAAGTATGTCATATAAAATAGTTAATGAGGGTAATGCGAAGCGTTTAGAAAAGATTACTCTACAAGTTTCAACACATATACATTTGTATCTAATGGATAACGAACCGGTTGAAGAGCCACAGTTTATTCAATACAATGTTGTAAATCATTTTGTTGGTAGTGGGAACCGATCAAGCAGCGGAAGAGGTTCCAGTAGTAAAAGAGGGAAAAGCTCTGCTAATAACATATCTAGTGGAAGAAGTAGCAACAATCAAGTAGACAATGTTGCAAAACTCGTTAGGCGTTCCCAGGCGGCCGATTAGCACCTAACAAGTATTCAGTCTAGGCGAGAGTACCCGGGGAGTACTCGGATTAAATAAATTATATGAAATTAATTCTAAGAGAGAGAGAGAGAGAGAGAGAGAGAGAGAGAGAGAGATGT